TGCTGGAGGAGAGGCCTTTGGACAAGTTGTGATGTTACTGAAGCTGATACAGCTATTGCATTGACTTGCCAGGCTACTGGCATAAAGCTAGTCTATACCCTGGATACCTCCCAGAGTGGGATTATTAGCTAGAAACTGTCATGAGAGCCCAACCCATCCATCCTTCTGCAACAAGACAAACCCCTTCACCCCCAACCTAACAAATGGAGGAGACTCTTTAACTTGCTCCTTTAAAACTTCCTGTAGGAGACAACCGGCTATTGTTCTAAAATGATGGATAAATTTGTTTTCTTCCCCTATTTAGAAGCCTTTGAGAGGGAACTGACACTGATTCTAACTACTCCAACAGCTATCAAAATACTTGAAAGCAAATCCTGAATCCATCATTCTAGATTCCAACCTTGGAAGACAAAAGAAAATGAGGAGGAACCCAATAGAGGGATGCTTTTGGAAGCCCTTGTCAAGAAATTCCAATGGACTCTCATATGAACAAATGAGGAGGAACCTAATAAGGGGATACTTTTGGAAGCCCTTGTCAAGAAATTCCAGTGGGACTCTCATATGCCTTTACTTCTCCTTCACATCTCCTAGTCATGATTCAAGGATTTTCTTTTCCCCTTAGAGATAAGAGTTATGCAATTTGGGAGTCTTTTAGAGAGACACACTGAAAGGGTATTCCAATTGCCTCACCCTGCATCTCTGTTCAGCATGGAAGAAGCCAGAGCAGTCTGGGTCCCTATTCCCTATTGGCAATTTGGGTAACCCCTTCAGAGGATGGCATGATAAAAATAGGAGGTAGGAATTGTCTAGGCAATTAGGGTAAAAAGACCCCAAAGAAAAGTAGCCAGTTTCTTGGCTAAAAGTCAAAATGTCCTTGGGAGTGTTAGCAACATACTCTATTCCAAAGGCCGAAAATGTCAAAAGTATTTGGGCGCTTATATCTAATCCTTAAAAGATTTTAGGGGATGGCCGGGTGTGGTGACATACACCTTTAATCCCAGCACTTGGGAGGCAGAGGCAGG